GTTTCCGTTAAGGACCTCTGTAAATCTCGTTTGCAGAGCCTTGTAATTCTGCTCCTCACCCGTTATCTGTAGGTCCCTTATACCTCATCTATAAACATCTGTAGGCAGTCGCTAACAGCTGGAAGGGACTGCAGCATCCTATTAAGTCCATGCCTTCTTTCCCTCAGAGCTCATCCCTTGGTCTCTTGCAAAGCTTCTTGGCTGATATAGATTGTCTTCTCCCCACTTCTAATTTGGGGTTTTCCCTCCCCCTCCAAACCCCTGAATAGAGCTATTACAGAAGGGCCCGAGACTCCTGCTACATCCTTTTACAGGGCTACCTCCATCGCATTCCCGGTTACCAAGCCACTTGCATGCCTTCACTTCTGCAGGACATTTTTTTTCCTATCCAAACAAGAGGGAGAGAGGGAGAGGCTTGAAGTGGGGCTGTAGATACCCTATGTCTCCTATCCAGAGGCCTTCCTTATCCAGGGGAACCACTGACAGTTCCCTCTAAACCCTCTTCCTTGATTGGAGGAGTAGGGAAAGAGGAGGTAGTTGGGGGTATTCTCCCCACCCCCAATATCTTGGAGCTGGAGCCGCAAGGGGAAGAATATCTAGGCAGCTGCGGAGACTCACAGGTGAGACCCAAGCACGCAGATAAGGGAGAGGGGGGAGAAGGGTATTTTTGTGGGATGGGAAAGCTGGGCAATGGGAAGAGAAGGTAAATGTTTAGATAACAAAAGAGATTGTATTGCACCAATTAAGAAAAAAATCTGATTTTCTTTCTGTCTGCTCTCTCCTATAATTGTCCTTCCAAATAAGTCAGAAATTGTATTGCCTTGGTTGGGAAACAAATTCTGTCTCCTCTACATGCTTTTCCCTCTTTGAAAGCTTTGCCAGGTAAGAGACCAGGAGTTCTGTTTTCCAGAGCTTGGGGTCTGGGCCTAATACCTTCCTGCAGGGGGAAAAAGGATCCTAGTCTTTCATCCCAGTCCTTCATCTATATTCATCTCTTAAAATTAGGAAAGACTTCCATTAGGGTTCCTCACCCTCTTAGTTTTGTCAGCTTTAGACTTTCTTTCCTTTGGAACCTGGGAATCAGGGAACCTGGGAATCATATCCCTGGTCTGTTAGACTTTTTCCTCCTTGGACTAGTCGGAGGCCTTAGCTCCTATTCTGCTTTTAATGTATCTTTCAGTGCTATTTTATGCCCTTATATATTCCTATAATGACAGGATTTGGGATGTTAGTATCAGTGAGGTATGTAAAAATGGGGGGGAAAGCCTATTATTGGGTTCTTTTAGAATCATTCAATTTTGTTCTTTATTGTAAGTATATGTTGATCACATTCATACTGCTGAATAAAGAAGCTAACATAATTATGAAGAAAGGTTGGATGTATTGTCTTGAAAATATCATAATTTTAACTATCTCTCATTTACAATTCCCAATCCCAAATTATTTAGCAGTGCTAGGACAACAAAGATAGAAGTGCATTAATAATAATATTATATGTATAAAAGAAAATCAGTTCCATGGGCAAAGAAATCCAACTTCACATTCAGTGCATATACTGATTATTCAGATAGTTAACTTTCATTAGTTTCCATTTTAATGTTTAATTCTGACTTCCATATGTGAAGCATTAGAGTGGTAAAAATGCTGTTTAGAGACAGTGTTTGTGAGGAACAGGATATAGCAGGATAGGAAAAAGCAGTTACTTTCTCCAGAATGGAAATGGATTGGTCTCTTCTCCTCTGTCCCAGAAATATGAGTGCTGGTATCTTATACTAGTTGAAACAGGACTTCTTCAGTTATCTAGGCTTCTTGTATAATTGTGTACATACTGTATCCTTAAACATGAATAGCCAGTGTTTATCAAGAACTATTGGTGAAAAGCATTAGGTTTTAGGGCTTCCATTTTTATGGATATTTTTTGACCCTGAAGAGATCTAGAGTGTTTTCTGCTCAAGAGGGTCGTATGGTGTTGGGACATACCTGCTCACATTAGAAATTAGAAAGAAAGCCAGTTATAACAGTTATGTCTCATGAGGTACACCCAATAAAATTAATTTCAATTTAAATGTCTTATTTTAGGGATGATTTTGTGTATCATATTCTTGTCAAAATGAGTAACTTTTTGCAAGCTATGTAGGCTTGTGCAAGTGTTGCTTACACCTATTCTAATGACAGTATTGGTTTTATTGTCTAAAAAGAAACATACAATTTATAAGTCTACTGGTTGCTGGAGTCTTTTCAGATTTCTTGCCCACTAGCCTCTAACTTATAATTAGTAATTCTTTCTGTTTTGAGTTTTGTGCATCTTTGAAAATAAATGCCCCAAAGTTACTAACCTACCTTTGCTTTTTAATATAATTTCTATTATATCAGCAGCCCATAAACATTGTTTCCCTGGAGATGATTCTTACCACACACTGCTTGGGCAGAGTCCCCTTAAGAATTCTGGCATATTGGGATCAAATAAGCATGTTGGTGCACAATGCCCAAGCTAATGATTGGTTCATCATGCTAATAGGAATTGCTAAATAACAGGAAACTGGTCATATTTTAATTAGTGTTATATCTGTATCAGAATTTCTGGATTGTTGGTCCCTTGACAAGCTAAAGTTTTAAGTGAGGACTTGTTGTTGTCTTAAGATTCTAGCTTGTTAAAAGAATTTCAAATCAAGGATTTTGGTTTCAAAGAAACAGTAAACTAACCACTAATACTGGTTTCCTGGTTTGTTTAGCTCCACCCACTGGCAGGCAGATCCAAATAGAAGCAGCTGGACAACACATACTACCAGAGTATAAATTAGCCCATAATTATAATTTTTCTATGGATACTAATTCATGAAAAAAATCCTTAGGTACTAAATCCTTAGTTTTTTGTAGATACCTTGTGGCAGAGAGTTTCCTCTGGATTTCCACATTAAGAAAAACAAGATGTAGGAAATTCTTGTTCTGAACCAAATGATAGCCTTGTGCCCAACCGAGAAGAAAGCTAATGTATACTTCTGTCTAGCACAGATGAAATTTCAAAGAGGAGACTCAGTCGGTATATTGTGACTGTGTTCGCCTCAGTTTTGTACAGCTTACCATAGTGTGCTATAAGCTGGCAAATGCTAAACTTCTTTAATAAGATGGATTTCTTTATTTACTCATTGCAAATTTTAGAATCATATTTGACACATGGATAAATTATGTGCTTTGTAATATCTGAAAGGACACTTATGAAAACTTCACATATTGACAGAACTTTTAGATCTCCCCCCCTCCATTATAACTTCCCTTTCAGGTATAAGTGAAAAGTGGAAGTGCTTTCCAGAACATCCAAAACTTCTCTTTATTTTTACCCTTTAATTCCTGTTTTGGCGAGGTTGTATATTATATCCTTCTCATGACTGCAGCACATTTTCCCTTTCCAGTTTCCCACAGTGATGCACTTAACAAATGGAACAGTTTAGGCAAAAATCTAGTTTCCTTGCTGGTCAAATAAAACATTGGTTAGGGCATTAATTAAAATTGGAAGGAACTCACCTATCCTTTCTTAAGATAGTTTTCTTATGGTTGCAGCAAAATCTCTGAAAATGACTGCAGTGTGTTCCCAAAGCATTATTTTATCACATGCTGTTGTAGTAGAATACAACCCCTAGGGGTTGCTCCTGAGTTACCCACAGGTGCCTCAGTAAGCACTTTCTTCTTTCAACTCAGAAGGTCTTGAAGTGAAAAAAGAAGATCTTTGGTATAAAAGCTTCTTAGAACCTTTGACAGGAAAAAACAGCCAGTGCAGGGTAATTCAGGATATTTGAGTAGGGACACCTAGGCTACAATCTTGTGCTGCTATTGAACCTCTTGGGAATTGCATTTGACTAAATATGTATAGAATAATGCTGTAGGGGGAGGAGAAGACAGAAACAGTAGTAAAGTCTAAAACATGGCTCATTGGATTCTCTGTCCCAAGGCACAATCTCAAGCACGTGACGCAGCAGCCATCCTGTTTCTAAAACAAGTCTGAATCTTAGAAGCCCCTGATGGCTCATTGCCTAAGAACTCTATATATACTACCTTGAATTCCATAGTAGCAGAAAGGTAGAGTTTGTACCTGAGAGCTATAAATAAAAATGCCTTTTTAAAAATGAGTGAAAGCAAGACATTTTTAGCTTTTGTGATTCTAGTGGAAATTTGCAGGAGAGTACCAAAACATGAAAGCAATGAATGGGCAGCCCTACTGAAGTTCAGCTGCTGTCCTGCTTTATCAAGAGTATTTACAAATCTCATGCATGAATATTTAAGTTTGAAAAGGTATGAAGGGGTGTGTGTAAATATGCCAGTATTTCCCTTAGTTGATTCAACATCCTAGGCCAGGGTACCACATTATAATCAATGGTAGGTGGTATCTATTAAAGACCTGTACAATACCATTACATGGGTTCTAAGATGATTACAGCCCAGGTTTTTTTAATCTGTTTTTTTTAAACCATCACATTTGTTTGGTTACCAGTATGCAAATAGCAGTAGATAATTTTTGAAGACTAGGAGCAAAAACAGTTGCTGGTGATCTTTTAGAACTAAAGAAGATTTCAAATGTACTGCTGCTGTAGTATAGTTCCATTTCAGAAACCAGAGTCAAGCTACAGATATTGGTGAGTCTGCCTCTTCTTTCTGTGATTGAGATGGATCTTCTTTCATTTTTCCATCTCTGACATTGTCAGCTCTAGCTTTTGCACAACAAAAGCTAGAACTTATTTTCTACTCAATTTCTCCTAAGATTTCCATCAAATCTTCCATTTTATCCTGCTTTAATGGCCAAAGAATAACTTTATCAGAGTGAGCAAAATAAACCTAGAACAATCAACATGTCTTTATGCATATTGTAGACCACTGAGAGACCACTGGTATTTTTCATCTCCCAAATTATATTACCTAGAAACAAACTCTGCTTCTTGTGGAATGGGAAAGATATGGAGCCATCACAATTATAGATTAGTGTACAGTACAGTTTGTTTCTTTGTCTTGCACAAATGGGTTTACATCTTTATCCTACTCATCATGCATGTCACAATTCCCAGCCACAAATGTTCAGATCCTCTTTATCATCCAGGCACTTAAGGAGTGTTTGCTTCAGAAACTTCAAATAACTCCCTATTTGTTGTCCCAAATGTTTCAATTCCTACAGTCTGCCATTCTTTAAGTCTCTGGGGTTGGAAAGGCTCAAAGGTTCAGTTCCTTGCCTAAGGACTAATTTCTCACAGTCCATCTACTCTGTGAGAATCTTCCCCAGCCGCTTATTTATTTAGTCATCAGATTTCTATTCTACTGCAATCATAAAAAGACTATCAGTGGCTTACAATAATAAACACAAGAAGCTAAACAAAAATCTGTAAATCTTCAAACAATACAAAATCTGGCCTCAAAAGCCCTCCAGAAAAGTTCTGTTTTTGACTTTTTCCAGAAAGCAGGTAATGTTGGACATAAATACATCTCCAGCAGGAGGCCATTCCCGAGGGCCAACTTCATCACAGAAAAACAGTGCTTTCAAGCTTCGGTCCTCCTAACTTTCCAAAAATGAGGGACAACCAGATGCTTCTCCTGGCACAAAGTGGTCAGGGGTGACTAGTGGGGAGATGTGGTCCTGCAGGTGACCTGGCACAAAGCCATAAAGAGATTTATAGATTAAAACCAGCAGTTTAAATTGCACCTGGAATGTAGAATACATTGCAGTAGTCTAACCAGGTGATGATGACAGGGTGAGCCACTGTAGTCAGGTCCTCCCATCCCAAGTAAGGTTACATTCCTCACCACATCTTCCACCTGCTGATCCAGCAGAAGCCATGAGTCCAGGAGGGCCCCCAAGTCACAAACCAGCTCCTTCAGAGGCAGTAAAACCTCATCCAGAGACAAAACAAGGGGCATAGAGGAACCCCAATGTACAAACAGTAGCTCTGTCTTGCTAGAGTTCAGTTTAAGCCTATTCTGTCCCATCTAGACCCTCAAAGCCTCCAAGACACTGGGACAAGACTTTGACAGTATCTCCAGCCCGGGGTCACAATATATAGTTGGGTATCATCAGAATATTGATGATACCAGACCCTGAATCACCAGATGAGCTCTCACAGCAGTTTCATGTAGATGTTAAATAACCCATGTCTTTCTCACTATAGGTGCCTAATTCACTGAAGGCTTTGTTTTTATTGCTCACTATAAATAGATGAAACATGTGAGCTAAAATAATGTACTTTAAAAACAGTGTGCGTGGCTTTGTCAGTAACTTTGTCCTAAAGAGAAATTCCTTCTTCTGGTCAATGTGGTTTTTAGTTCCACTCTATATTTGAAGTAAAAATAAATAAGACTCCTGAGGGAGGATTTTTTTTCCCTTCAGAAGTTTTTTAGTTTAGTTCTAGTTCATATTGTGCTTTTTAAATGTAAATTTTTTTCAGGTTAAGTATACTCATTTATTCAATCACTGTGAATTCTTGGAAAAGTGGTATCCCAACATAGTTAATAAAATAATTCAATTCAAGTTCAGAGTGGGTTTTAAAAAACGGAATTTTTAGGATTCATGACTTACATAGAAACTACCTTTTGAGTCTCCATTTAAAATGAATGGATGAAATGCTCTCTACTTTTGTTGCTTGCCAGAAAGCAAATTCATGTTGGTTAAGAGATTGATCAATTCTTGCACTCCTTTCGTGTGACACATATTGTTTCTGAAATTGCTGTTCTCTTTAAAGGTTAACCCCAGATGTTTCCCTCTTACATGCCTCCATACCCTTATTTCTAATTTGGAACACTGAAACTAAGCTCCAGGGCCTGCCTTAAGTTCTGGCCACCTTGGTGCAGCGAGGCAGCAACCACTGCAGCAGGAATCCTTCCAGATGCTTTCCCACCAGTAGTATCACTGCCAAGGCTAGCCTTATGCTTTGCCTTTTTTCTTTGTTGTTCCCAGGGAAGCAACTGAACAATGCAAGGATTTCCTCTGACTGACATAACCCGCCTGCAAACTGTTGATTTCCTTATTTTTCATTTCAGCCCTCTGGAGTCATTCCAGCGACCACTGCCCATCCCAGAGGGTGAACAAGAGGGACTCTGTGTAGTTTTTTCAAATTTTAGAGTTACAGCAAGGCTGTGGATCTTATTTTACGGTGGTTCTTTTGAGCTAACCTCAATTGCTGGCCCATCAAGGGACAGACTTGGTGTGAGAAACTTCTTATCTAGGTGGCTCTGCTTTCCTGGGATAAATTATTTCTACAGGCCAGATGTGTCGAGCATTTTATCTGCATTGATACCATGATGCTTCATGCATTTGATAGTCATAACATCAGTGTGGGGATAGGTAGCCTGTAGACATTTTATTCTGATAATGAAAAGAGGCTGTTTTTACCCACAAAATTTCTTGAGTATTCCTGTTCTGGTGTTGCACTGTACAGTGAAGAGTGCAGCAAGCTGGCTTCTGGGAAACTTTGGATCCTCAAAACTTGTGCTGCAAACTAACTTTCCTGGATTTTCTGGGGAGCAAATAAGGAAAATGCTGAATTTCTGAAATACAATAACTAGAGAGGAGGAGGCATCTACCCGAGCTTATTCGTGGATTAAGATATTGAATCCTGAATTGTGAGTGGACCCTTCCTAAGGAAAAAAAAGGCAGTTAAAGATACTCATGAGGGTATTTTGGATGAGCCAGAGATGAGAGATACCAATTCTGTGACATCCAAGGCTGCAGTGCCAACTCTTGTTATTAATATCAGCTGCTGGCAAGCAAGTTTTCTTGCTCATGAATCTCTGCCAGGCTTCTTCTTTTGGGCATTTTGAGAATCTAAGTTCTTCGCCATTGGAATGAGAACAAAAGTAGGGGTAGGAGTCTGTTTGGTAGGAGACCCTTTGACCTCTTGCTTTCTGGAGTCAGGCTCACTGTCTACTCACATTAAGAAATATAGTTATCTTGTGGTTGGACTAAATATTCCTGTATGTTTAATATTTATTCCATCTTATTTCAGAGGCTTGGAGTATCAGTTTTTAAATGTATGTCTTTAACCTTTAAAGGGTTCACTTTAGCAATATTGCATAAATAGCTTTTACTTAGCATGTGCCTACCAGAGGGATTAATCTACAAACTTCTAGAATTCCAAACTAGTTATTGGCCATGTTGGATGGAAATTGTAGTCCAGTGCATCTGGAGGGAGCCATATTGGAGAAATTTGCTATAGATATAGCAGACTGGGAGATGGAGAAAAAAATACATAAAAAATAACTTCTAAAAAAATACTCATATACAGAGAATAAATAATTATATTGTGGGGGGGGTGTCATCTGATGTGGTTGTTCCCTTCCCACTTGGTCCAGGAATAGTTACATGCCTTTTTTTTCTGACTCATGACTTTCTTGGTATCTGCTTAATAGTATGTCACTGTTTCATGTACATTCATGTGATGTTTATAAAAGTTAAGATTTAGGGTGGCATTGTGCAATAAGGAAGAGATTGATATATCTGTATGAGGATTGCACATGAATAAGCAACCTCCATACTCATGCATTCTTTGTACAGGACTGCTTATCCTGCTAACAAATACCAAGCCCAGTAAAATCTTGTTCAAGGATCTAGAAATCCATTGGCCTATGTTCCTCTAATTCCTTTTAATCCCTCCTAGCCAACTTCTTCATTTTATACAAGAAGGAATTGCTTAAGAGCAGGAGAGTAGTTATCCACTGTAGTAGACAGAAAGCCATGAAAGCATTGAGCTAGACTCAGTTAACATGCTTATTAAAAATAAAACTGAAAATATTTAGGGAACCCTCCAAAGCCTTGTATTTTTCTTTAAAAGAGAATCATATCATTTTAACTCTCTTTTCAGTAAGGATAGCACAGAAATTAATTCAAATAACAAATCTGAATTAGTGAGAACCTTACTACTTGAATGGAAGTCTGCTCATTACAGTATAAAGGTGGGACCTGCAGATACAAAGACTGAAACATGAGTCACTTTACAAGAGAGAAAAATTATAACAATTGACCTCCTGTCATTGACTTCAGTGGAGTCAATGGAGATTATTTTAGTGGTGAAACATTAGGGGCAAATCTGCTCTGACTTTTATGTCTATGGAAAGTAGGTATAGCTTTATCAAGACTCCTGAATTTTCGTAGAAAGAATAAAGCATGAACATGTTTGAGCTAGAGCTAGAAAAGTGGGGAATATAGAGATAAGAAAAGCCAATATTACCATTTCAGTATCCAAACAGTTACTCGTTGAATGCTATCACATATATAGCAGAAGCCCAGCTTGAACAGAAGTCTGTTCTACCTTCTGTATCTCTGTGAGATCTGTCTCCATTTGGCATTGATGGCCTTCCCGTTACAAACATCTCTCATTGGTTATCCTGTTACAGACCTCTTATTTCTGTAAATAGGAATATCTGTGTACAGATTCCTTTTGAAGAGGCTTTCTGAGCTTTGTCAGGATTGCATGTGGCTATGAAACCCCTCCTCCAAATGGGACTATAATTTTGGTATATTTATACCCTTTCTTTCTTCTAGCAAGGAACCCAGGATTTGCTTTGCTTCAGCAAGATGGCAGCATCAGATATCCTTGAATCATTTATTAATATCCAGCTTGTCTAGTTTGTTAATATTTGTTTTCCACTTTAGGAGACCAGCAACAGTGAAGCCCAGCCTCATCCACGGCCGCCATGCCGTCTAATGCCAGGGCTGGTAGTTTGAAGGACCCTGAGGTGGCTGAGCTGTTCTTCAAGGATGACCCTGAGAAGCTCTTTGTTGACCTGCGGGAGATTGGTCATGGCAGCTTTGGAGCTGTCTACTTTGTGAGTGCCAAAGGAATGTTAATGCTCATGCTCAAGCCTTGCCAATATCATTTAAAACAACTTTTTCCAATTGGCCTTGCTTACAGTTGAATCAGTTTTGCTTCTTGGTCCCATACCATAGGGAGGCCCTGCCACTGAATATTAGATGTTGAAGAGCAACAGTGGGAGGGACTTTCCGCATGTCTTGCTTGTAGCTTTCTCTGGGGAATCTGATTGGCCATCATTAGAAGCAGGAAGATGAACTAATGAAACTTTTGGTCTGGTTTAGCTGGGGTGTTCTAACGTTAAATGGATATTGGGTACCTACCATTCCCACATATCTCTGGCCTCATGGGTAGCTCTGCTCTAAGAATGCCTGATTTGCTATGAGATGTAAAATTTACTCCTTTTGGTCTCTATTGTTTTTTCCAGGCACAGAAACAAAGTGCTGCTCTGAATTTGACTGTCTGCGGGTGCTGACAGTTATTTTCAGCATCCTTCTTCCTTGGCTTACTCTCTTTATCTTCCCCAGGCCCGAGACATACGCAACAACGAAGTGGTGGCTATTAAGAAGATGTCCTACAGTGGGAAGCAGTCTAACGAGGTTGGTCCTTTTTTTTTTTTTTTTTTTTCTACACTGCAGTTGTGTTGATCATTAACTTCCAGCCTCCCCTGGCCTAGGTAGCCCAGTTCTCCTGATTTCCAAATCTCCTAAGGACCACTTTCTCTAGGCTTCCAGTAGTATTCCCTCCTTCACTTGAAATACAGGACTCTGCAAGCTCAGGCTCCCTTTTATGTTTTCCAGAAATGGCAGGACATTATCAAGGAGGTGAAATTTTTGCAAAAACTACGACACCCAAACACAATTGAATACAAGGGCTGCTACTTACGGGAACATACAGCATGGGTAAGAGGAAAATGAAACAGGTCATTCTAAGCCACTGCAATATATTACAGAAAGCCTTTTAAAGAATTTAAGAAGTGCGGTAAAAATGTAGATGAACCGGGCTTTGGATGAAGGGAAGTCTTCCAAAGGGCTTGAGTGATGGCTGGGTTTCTTGCTTCCCTGCCTGAAAGCCTAGTGCAATTTAAGGGAATTAATTGCAATGCAATAGGGTGGTGGCTCCTCTTCTTGAAAATCATGGGGGAAAAATCTTCCATGATTGGTGGTATTATATATATACACATACACATACCTTTGCGCCCTGCTTCATGGGCTTTTTGGAGGTGTCTAGATGGCAGTGGTGGGAGAATGATGGGCTTTTGGTCTGATTTAGTGGGGGCTGTTCTTATATTCTCAGTGAATCAGAAGTACCAGGTACATAATGGTCTTGGCATACTGGGCTTCAAGAGAACTGATTGGACAGGATGATTGAAATTCAAAGGAATTATGTGCCCTATGCTAACATCTCTTCTTAATTCACTAGCTGGTGATGGAATACTGCCTAGGCTCAGCTTCAGATTTGCTGGAAGGTGAGTCCAAGACCAAGTGAGGAGAGCTGTTTTCCCATAATCCTTTTCTGAGACCTTTAAGTAATGCTCTTTCCTTCCTCCCCTCTTTCCTAGTGCACAAGAAACCACTACAGGAAGTAGAGATTGCAGCCATAACGCATGGTGCTCTGCAGGGACTTGCATACCTGCATTCACACAATATGATCCACAGGTAAGCTCAGTATTGTGTGACTGCACTCACAAGGGTCTAAACATGGTCTTAGAAACCCTGCTTATAACATCCATCTAGTGTAGGACAGGGTGGTCTAGTTGTTGCTGCAGTATGAAATCTGTACCAGAATCTGTTAATTTGTTTTTCAGTCAACTCCATGCATCTCTGTTACCCAACTCTGTTTCTTACTGCATTTTACTGCTTATTCTCTCTAGATGATTTGCAGGCAGAATGACAAAATTACCCAGTCAAATTCACGTTTCAGTCAAATGTTGCAGTTCAGGCAGTCCAGTTTAACTATCAGAACTGGGCAGTCTTCAAGCTTCTCAAATCTGCTTTGTATTTTAATAACTCCATAATCTCCCAAACAGAGCTTAATGAAAAGATGTATACTTAAAACATGCTGCTTTTTATCGCATTTTGCAGTTAATACAGGTAGCCCTCATTTAGCAACTGCCTCATTTAGCGACTGTTTGCAGTTACAGCGGTGATGAAAAAGTAACTTTACTACCAATTCTGGCATTTACAACCTTCACAGGTCTGTAAAGCAAAGGAAAGCTGAAGTAAGATCACAAGCACAGTCGCAGTTTCACTTAGCAACTGCTTTACTTAATGACCAAGTTGCCAGTCCCAATTGTGGTTGCAAAACAAGGACTGCCTGTATGTTTTCAACTCAAGAACTGCATTAAACACACTCTTCTTCTATTAAAAGCATTCCTAGTTACCTCAGAGTTCCTTCATTTCTAATTTAAATAGAGTAGAAATATTTTAGTTGTTGCTATCAAGCAATTAAGAGTCAGAAACCATTGCCAATGTAGAGGTTTACTAATACAGCCTGATCTCTCTTCTGTTTTTCCTTGTCTTCGCCCATATAAATGTTGCTGCAACCTCTGTCCTCCTGCTTTCTCCTGCCTCTCACACTGTTTTCCATCTTGGCTACCCATATTCCTCCACCATATTATCTGTTTCTCTGTGCAGTTTTTAATAACTGTGCCTGCCTTTTCAGGGATGTGAAAGCTGGGAATATCCTTCTGACTGAACCAGGACAAGTGAAGCTGGGGGACTTTGGCTCGGCTTCCATCATTGCTCCTGCTAACTCCTTTGTTGGCACCCCATACTGGTAGGCTGGCAGAATGAGATTTCTATGTAATCTGAAACAGAGCAGGAATACCTTTATTGACCGTATCCCTATATCCTAGCCACTAGGAGGAGTTAAAATGTGGCTGGAGAGACAGTGAGGGAATGGATGTGGATTTGAGACTCCCTGATTCTTTGAACAACAAGAAGAAATTAGAGGATTTGATAATTAGAGAGGTGGGTTCCCTGGGTTTTGCAAAGAGTAGCAGTGTAGTTTAACAACAGTGATTCTCAAAAGAAGTATGAAGTCTTGTCCTTTTGTAGGTCAAGGACTGGAGGGTGTAATTCAGGAGTGCACCAGTCTTGGGGGGTGAGAGCCATATGTGAACTTTGAATGGCATGTTTGGGAGCCTCATTTCAAGAAATGGGTGGGGCCTGAGAAAATGAAAAGTATTAATTTCATATGATTCTTCATGTATTTAATAATTTACCCCCTTTGATAAACTGCAAAATGTACAATTTGGCAGTATGTTTTGGAGGGCTTTGTGGGCTATGTCCAGGGTTTTCATAGCCATAGTCATCTTTGGTGTGGCATCTTCTAGGCTCTAAGTAACAATGTGTGTCATTGCTAAGTCACAATGTATGATTGCTTTATATTGGTCTCTCTTTCTAGGATGGCTCCTGAGGTGATCTTAGCCATGGATGAGGGGCAGTATGATGGCAAGGTGGATGTCTGGTCACTTGGCATCACTTGCATTGAACTTGGTATGGAATGAACTAAGTTGGGGTATACTTGAAAAATTTCCTTGCCTTGCAAGGTTGGAGCTATTTGGGAAATGATGTGGAGAAGGACTCTCTGCAGAAAGGTGAATGTCTGTGCTAACATTAGTGTCTGTTTATCCCTAGCGGAGCGCAAACCACCCCTCTTTAACATGAATGCTATGAGTGCCTTATACCACATCGCCCAGAATGATTCACCTCTGCTGCAATCTAGTCACTGGTAAGGAAAGCTTCAGGTGCTAAAGAAACCACTTTAAGCTTCCGAGAGAGAGAGGTTCATAAACTCAAAAGGATCCCTGACTTCCTTTCTTGTTTTCTCCAGGTCTGAATATTTCCGGAATTTTGTGGATTCATGCCTGCAGAAGATCCCCCAGGACCGTCCAACCTCCGATGTGCTGCTTAAGGTACCTTCCACCTGTTTGCACTCCTGAAATGTGACTTTTTTTCCCCATCCCCAGTCCACTATGCCTATAGCTGTGGAAGTTGCAATCATTTTATCCTACCTGGGATAAAAACAAGAAGTTAAAGTAAAGATGAGAACGCTGGATTTTTAAATTAGAAGAGTGTGTTGAGGAACAACCTAGCATCAGGAATTGGTAATACATGAAAAATGTTGACACACGTGTTTCTGTAGGAACACCCTAATGAATAACACTCTTCATCATTTCTTCCCCACAGACCCATAATAAATACTGAATTCACATTGGATTCATAGAATCATAGAATTGTGGAGTTGGAAGTGACCACAAGGATCATCTGGTCCAACCTTCTCTTGTTCCCCTGGCATCAATTTTGTTTGATTTTTTTTAAGTTGTTGATAAGTAGTGAGTTATTCTGTCTTCAAAAGTATTTGAGTTTCTCTCATTTTCTGCTCCTAAGTGAACTTGAATAACCATTACATGTTAAATCTAGGTTTACTCAAGTTTAATTGAGAGTAATTATGCATTGTGGTTAAAATGATATAGTTATTAGGTCCAGCTAAATCTCAGTGGTTGTTATCCGGCCCTATGAGTGTAATTAATAGTGGAAAAGGATTGGTCAGATCACAAATTCTAAGAGACCGGTGGATAATTTTGGAGACCTTTTCCAGACCTACTTCCTTGATTTCATGCTAACGCTTCCTGTGACTCCACAGCATCGCTTTCTTTTGAGGGAGCGACCCCAGACAGTTATCATGGACCTGATTCAGAGGACCAAGGATGCAGTGAGGGAGCTTGACAATCTGCAGTACCGCAAGATGAAGAAAATCCTCTTCCAGGAGGCTCAGAATGGTCCAAATGCAGAGGCACCAGAAGAGGAAGAGGTTAAGATTTCTTTTTTTGGATTTTTTTTTTTTTTGGTTAGACTTTACCCCACTTTTCCTAATGCAGCGCTCCCTGGCTTTGTTGGACTTCAGTTCATATAATTCTCCAACTGTTGTGAGAGTACCAGAGGGCACAAGGCCCCCTTACTCCAAAGCTATCTCCTACACACACAGAATCCACCCCACCTCTCCTAGAGGCAGTTGCTTGTGGTGTCATCTTCTTTCTCATTCTCATTCAATCTCTCTTTGCAATTCCAGGAAGTAGAGCAGTTTCTTCACCGAACAGGGACCATCAATAGCATGGAGAGCAGCCACTCGGTACCCAGTATGTCTATTAGTGCCAGCAGTCAGAGCAGCAGCGTCAACAGCCTAGCCGATGCCTCAGATGATGATGACGGGGCTGAGATTGCCATGATGCAGGAAGGCGAGCACACCGTCACCTCCAATAGCTCCGTCATCCATCGTCTGCCGGTACAGAGCTTAATATGCTTCTGCAAGAGCAATCAAATGTCAATTGCAGAATAAAGGAAAGGTTGGGAAACACTGCAATATTTTCTAGTATATAAGTGATGGAAAATGTAAGCCTTCCTGCAAATCTGCCATAAAGTTATGGGAATCCTAAGATAATAAAGGGAAAAGCTCAATTCTGAATTTGGATTATCCTTCACCCTCTCTATAACAAAACAAAAAACAAAACCAGAGATGGTAGAGAAATTGGGAGTCCAGAAGAGGGGTGAAGAGAAGAGAGAAGCATGCTGATGCTCAAAGGAAAGAATTGAAATCCAGTGGATCATCATGTCCTACTTGCTCCCTTAAGTTGAGTAGGCTTAGGTTTGGCTAGGGAAACACTCCCCCCTTTTGTTGGGAAAAAATGAATCAATTCTTTTCTAGACTAGTCTTCCCCAACCTGAAACCATTCACATTTCTTGAGATTGCAGCTACATTTTGACATTGGAGACAGCAGTTGGGAGGAAACTGAACTAGACTAAAAATGCCTAGCATGTTCATCTTTAATCGTTTCTATCCATATGATCTTGCTTTGTGCTTAAGACTGAAAACATTAGTGAAGTTGAAGCCTTAGCCTAGCTTTCCTCAACTTGCCACAGATGTTCATCTGCTGGCCATTTGATACACCCTCCAAGTTGCTTAGAATTCTAGGAGTTGCAGCCCCAACACATCTGGATGGCATCAAGTTTGGAAGATTGCCTTAGGCACCATATTACTTCAAACTTCTGAAATCTTGGAATTCATATTCCTTCTTTAGTACTCTCTAAGACAGCTTGTGGTCCTGCTCCACCATACCTTCACACCTCCATTTCCTAGAACAGGGTAACCCCAGGTTCCACATGGAAGTGCTCTGTATTCTGTAGGTGCCTTTTAAAGGAAGATTTGCAGAGGTGATGTTAGAAGCTAAGGTAGCTTCTCATGTGTGTTTTGATGCTTCTCAGGGCCATGACAATCTGTATGATGATCCCTACCAGCCAGAAATGGAGCCCCAGAGCTCATCGTCAGCTGCCCGGCGTCGTGCCTACTGCCGTAACCGAGACCACTTTGCCACCATTCGTACAGCTTCTTTGGTGAGTAGAGAAACTTACTTATTTTTTATTGTATTTTATTATTAGATTTATATCCTGCCTTTATTTTGCACAGCTCAAGGCAGTGCACAGAATGCTCTCACCTTCTGTTTTTCCCACAACAGCAACCCTGTGAGATGGGTTGGCTGAGTAAGAATAACTAATCCAAAGTCACCCAGCTGCCCTTTATGCCTAAAGGAGGACTAGAACTCATGGTTTCCTGGTTTCTAGTCCAGCACCTTAACCTCTACACCAAAGTTGTTCTCAGTCCTTTCATTGTTCTTTTGCCAGCCTTGCTCCTGTGCTGGTGGCTTCATAAATTGCTGGTGGTGCTGCCTACTAAATCTTCCACTTCTTTTCTTTAATGTATTAGCCAGTGAAGTTTCAGTGTTTGTGGCATCTGGAGCCCTCTGTAGGAATTTGCTGCAGTGCAGTTGTTAAGCAAGAAGCAGAGAAAATTAGGACAGAAAGAAATATGAGCTACCTGAAATGCATTTGTTTTGCCCATTAAACAAAATATTGGACATATTCATGGTGAGAAAGATGGCTATAGCACCTATTATAGCAAAATAGTTAAAGCTTCCTTTGGTAAGACCAGAGAAGAGGAACAGTGGATAAGTGCCAGACATAGAGATCTACATCTTTTGTATTCCACTGTATTGGGGACATTTTTTTTCAACAATTTTCTAAGAGAGGTTAACCATATTACTTGAAATGTGAATGCTCCTGTTTCTTAATAAGGCAGCTGCTTCACTAAATCCTGTGCAATTAAAGAAATTCTGAATTATTAATAATTTGATTATTTAAGATATTATTTAATTTAGAACAAGACTTATTTGGGGTGGCAAACTTTCAAAGCCTGGATACCATATTTAACTTTTGGATGATGATAGCAGTAAGGATTGCAGAAGGAAGGGCAAGGACTTAAAGTGAATAGAACCATACCACATGTTGACAAAGATGGGACTTAATGAGGGCGTGTTTGGGAGATTTGGATGTTTTTCTTCGTTTTTAGCTGTGCTAAATCGTTTTAGAGCTGAATTTGGTTTTCACGTAGTTTCTACATCAAAAGAGCAAAACCAGAATTCCAGTTTTCCACAATTATTATGCCAAAATAACAGTAATGGATGCCGTAGAAGAGTGTTCCTCTTCTGAATGTATTTCATGTTTTACTCATGGACATCAAAGCTGAATCAACTTGAATGAAATTCTGTTAAGTTTTTCTGGGTAAATGCTTTACCATCAAAGGAAGTTCGGTGCACTAGAGGTGTGCTCTGTTTGGATCTGAAGTGGACAAGGGTGCATAGGTTCCAGTGTGAGCACTCTGTTTCCACCTTTTGGAGGCTCCTTAAAGAAGCTGTGCCTTTTCTTGGGCTTGCACAGTAACTGTGCAGACTCAGGAAAGGATGCATTTCAGTTAAAGAGGCAGCCATAGAGGGCAACTGCTTGCTGCTGCTCGATCTCTATCACCCTAATCTCTCCTTGACTGAAATGTAATTTTTCCTGAGCCCCCTCAGGTACCATGCAAATCCAAGAAAAGGTAAGATTCTTTAAGGTTCAGCCAACAGGGAGTGAGAAGATGCCAATAGTGGATCAGAGGATCCTCGTCTGCTTCAGATCTGAATGGCGCACCACACTTCAATGTGCTGTTCCTCTGACCCCACAGCAGGATTAGATTCAGTAATAAACACATGAATGGTGTGGTTACGTGTCATAAATTAGGATTAAATTGGACTTTCCTGCTCCTCACTTCCTCCTCTATTCCACTCCTTCCTTCCTTCCTTCCTTCCTTCCTTCCTTCCTTCCTTCCTTCCTTCCTTCCAGGTGACTCGCCAAATCCAGGAGCACGAGCAAGATTCAGCCCTGCGGGATCAGATGAGTGGCTACAAGCGGATGCGCCGTCAACATCAGAAACAGCTGCTGGCTTTGGAGAACAAACTGCGGGCCGAACTGGATGAGCACCAGCTGCGGCTCGACAAGGAGCTTGAGGCCCACCGCAACAACTTCTCGGCTGAAGCTGAAAAACTGGCCAAGAAACATCAGGCTATTTTTGAGAAAGAGGTGAGGGCAGGAGATTTGGACAGGAAAGTGGGGATAGCTTGGCCAAAGGGGATGGAAACTACAAATGAATTCCTATGGAAGTGGGAAAGTGGGAAACTTTGGCCTCCAACACAAGTTGCAGTGGGAACCTGATGTCAGGCTAATGCAAAAACTAACCACCTTTTAAGATAGCAAGCACCAAAACAGCTTCTATTTAAAGAAAGAAATTGTCAACACTGCACATGCTAATTCCAAAATTTTGTGACATTTCAGCATTCTGAAATGTCATTTCATGGGAGAAGACTGAAATCTTGCAGTGGGTGGTGATTTCGTGAGATTTCAGTATTTTTACCATCCATTCTTATTTAGCTAGACACCACCATCAGGGGTGTCACAGAAGTTACAACACAACTGTTGTAGGTGGTCCATTTTCAATCCTTGTATTAACATGTATGAAGAAAAGTGAAAGACTATCTCAGAATTAAAATAATCATTTCCCTACTTTCTTTTCATTATTCCCTTTCATACAAATTTACACACAACTCTTGTGAGATCTGGTCACTTTGGATAGATCTGTATTAACTTGCTATGGAAGGCTGGGAGATCATTGATTCTCCTCATCCTGAACAAAAATAGGTTTGATCATAATTGTCCCATATGTACTTGGACCTGACCTATTCTTTAAAACAAAAAAACCCCAAAGAATTGAATAATTTAGACAAGTGTGTTTACGTAGTTCTGCTGGTTGTCAAGAAATAAGTAATGCCCTGTACAAATTGTACAGCTTTTTTTATAGTAATTTTATTAAAAATTACAATTACAAAGATAAAAACTAATTCAAACCAAAAAAAGAATAAAAAGAAAAAATAGTGCAGAAAGGAAAAAAATAGAAAAATAGAAAAGAAAGAAAAAAATAAGAATATAGTAAAGAAATAGAAAAGAAATATATAAATAAATTACTTCCCCCTTCAGCACAACAAATGTAAACTATTTTAGTAACTTATCACCTTCTCTTAAAATACAGCCAATGATCTTGTCTTCCCATATCCCATCTCTTATCTATAAACAAATCCTTAAAGCCTCATTGATTCAAGTCCATTAAGGGTTACCAGAGATAAGGGTTATCTATTTTAACCTTGATCAGATAAACCATCTTTATATTTCTTCCTTTTACTTTTAACAATCTTGATCTTTAGTTCCTTCAAATAATGTCCTCTAACTTTATTTCTTTTTTTCTTTGTCCTGTCTCACAAAATTCTTCAAATCTTTAACAAGCCTCTTTTGTAAATCCAAGATGGGAAAATTATCCAGGTCACTCTCTTGGTTTGTTATTTGTATATCCCTTTTCATTATTAAGATATCAGCCAGTTTCTTTTGTATGTCCCATGTAACATCTTTTTCCATATCATTCTTGTAGCCTGTCATTTTTTAAATCTACTTTCAGATCAGTCTCAATATTGTCAGGTAAAACTTGTTGCTCTTTCATAACTTCTTTTAAACACAGTCTATTTATAGAGGCAGACACTCTTAAAATTAACTTCTGGGTCCACTGTTCAAAAATAACCTTCAGTATGTCCAGTGTTAAAATATTTTGCTTCATTCTGTATTAGTAAATCAAATCTAAGTGTTTTTCTCCTTTAATTGTAATCTTCTGGTTCCCTCTAGTGTCCAACCTTCAAAGTCTCATCCTATCATGTTTTTTTTAAGAGTATTCAAAACAAATGCATTTTCTCACAGGAAGGATTCTTATAATTAATTCCAAAATCTTATTTCAAATCCATTTGACTCTTAGTCCATTTGTAACTTTCCAAAATCAAAGTTCTGATCACCCCTTTGCTATTTATTCCACAAGAAAAAAAAATTCTTTAAACTTGTATTTAAAAAACTTCTTTCGCTAAGGATTGAAGGAAACTCACCCAGTGCTGTAAAACCTTGTTGATCCAAAGGTTCCTAATAGCTGAAAAGCAGTTAACAAGCAATTTACAAAAGTGATTAGAAAAGGAAGTATGTGAACTCAATGTCTTTAAAGGTGCTGACTGTGGTATGAGCAAGATGGCTATTCTCTCATCTCCCAGAGCTCTAAACCCGCTGGAGGCTGCTGTCTTGAGGTTTCCTCGCGAGGAGCAACTGTCTGGAGCACTTGTGGGCAGTCTCAAGTCCTCTCCTTGTCTACTCACCAGCTCTTCATTCTGCCATGGTTGTCACCTCCACTTTTAGCGGAGCCGTCTTCAGTTCACCATTTCTTCCCCAGAAGTCAAACTGCAGAGCTTCCTGTACTGAGAATCTCATTCATTTCCAAAGGATGGGTTAACATTATTACTCACATGTGCAGTAATGACTACTTTTTTCCCCTTTAAATGATGTTCTGACTGTGTACACAATTGCAGCACGTATGTAAGCCTAGGCTTAGCTAAGTTATCTTTCTGTTCCCCTCCCATCATTGGTGACCCTGACCACTCCTCCCACTTATACAGGCAAAAGCTGCCCTGGCTGAAGAGAAGAAATTTCAGCAACATATCTTGGGTCAGCAGAAGAAGGAATTGGGCAACTTGCTGGAATCACAGAAGCGCCAATATAAGTTACGGAAGGAGCAGCTAAAAGAGGTATCCTGATTTGAAGGGTGGCAGAACATAGCAGCATGAAGTCAAAAGTTCATTATCACATACTAGTTTGGCAACTGACTTTCCAAAGTTCCATTTGTCACCCTGTGGTGGTGATGAGTTAAATTTATATGCCCCCCCAATTCCCAGCAACTCTTGCCACAACTTGTTCTCTTCTTATTTTGATTTGTTTTATTCTGTGTATAATGCTGCAAATTCCTTCCTTAGGGGCAAATAAAATATTTACCTGGTCTTTAGAAATATGTATAAAATATTGATTAAAAACATGTCCTAAAAGGCCAGGAAAGACCAGCTGAGATTTATGCTGTCATGCTGACAATTCCTATAATGACTTGCAGCCTATATCTTTGAAGAGAAAGATAGGAGTATCATAGAGTTGTTCCACTGAGAGTGATAGAGTAAGGATTCGTTGTATACTGAGCAAACGTATACTGTGGCAAACATGTAGAAACACTGCTGAAAGTCAGGGTTTTATGTCCTCCATGTTTCTTGTTGCTCTGGGAAAAAGCAGAATAAAGGTATATTAAAAAGGAAATGAAAATTTGGCTACAGGCACATTTTATAGGTGTTCTTTTGGAATTCTGCATCTCTTATCTTTCTAGCCATGAGTTGTTTGCCAAATCTTAGATAGCTTTCTCCCATATATGTACTGTTATGTGAGCTAGAGACAATGAGACCTGTATTCCAAAACACCTGGACCAATCAAGTTTGGAGGAATCTCCCTACAGCCTTTTCCAGTCTTGGGCACAAATCTAGGAGAGGAGATTACTGTACTTCACCATATCTAGATTTGCACATCAAGTTAGCCATAATGGGGTATATTGAACTGTGTGTTAGCGGGTTGGATGAACTCAGTCATTGCAATTTATTACTGTAGCTTGTTCAACAACCAAAGCTTAGCACAATGTGTAAATAAATGAGTGTTTACTTTTTCATGTTATCTCTTTTGCAGGAACTGCAGGAGAACCAGAGCACACCCAAGCGGGAAAAGCAGGAATGGTTGCTGAGACAAAAAGAGAACATGCAACATTATCAGGCCGAGGAAGAGGCCAACCTTTTGCGGCGCCAGCGGCAGTACTTTGAGCTACAGTGCCGCCAGTACAAACGCAAGATGCTGCTGGCACGCCATAACTTGGACCAAGACTTGCTGCGGGAGGTGGGGACCAGTAATTGGAGCCTGGTGGGAGCAGAAAGGGGGTGTCTGGCAATGCTTGAAAAGCAAAACTGCAGGAGGTATACTCTGGGGGGGTGGGTATGTTGGGCAGGCTAAATTGTATGCCCATTTCCCCACCCATATCTCTTTGGAAGAGCTGGCATTGTGAATGGCTACTTGAATGCCTGCCTTTGCAAGCTGTTTGTGGCTGAGTTCATGCGGTTTGTTTATTTATTAATTAAATGTCCACTAATTAAATGGAGTTAGGCCAGCCAACTCCATTGCAACTTTCGGCAGGGTACAATATTAAACAAATTAATATAATGCAATACAAAACCATATACAAAATGTTCAGAGAAAAATAGCACAGCAAACTAGTCAAAAGGAGTCTGCCATCCACTCTAGTCCAAGGCCTGGGAGAACAGCCAGGTTTGAAGAACTTGTTTAAATTATGCCAGGGTGGGGCAGTATGAATCCCTGGGAGAATGTCTTCCAGAAGACAGGCTTTACAAGTAGTCCTCCACTACGACCACAATAGGGACTGGAAAATTCATCATTAAGCAGTGCGGTTAAATGAGGCACCGCGTGACCACACCCAATTTTATGGCATTTTTGCAATGGTCATTAAGTGAATCACCGCAGTTGTTAATTGAACCTCGCAGTTCCCCATTGATTTTGCTTATTGGAAGGTGGCTGGGAAGGTCACAAATGGCAATCACATGACCCCAGGACACTGAGACTGTCATAAATACATGCCAGTTGCCAAGTGCCCAAATTTTGATCACATGACCGCGGGGATGCTGCGATGGTTGTAAGTCCAAGGACTGGTTTTAAGTCACGTTTTTCAGCGCCATCGTAACTTTGAACAGTCACTAAGCAAATGGATTAGTGGTAAGTTGAGGACTACCTGTACAGCAGAAAAGGCCCACTTTCTTGGTCCCATCGAGTGACACTGTTTAAATAATGGGACCTAGAACATGGGACAAGCAAACCATCCACCATCAGACTCTATGCCATGAAGGGTTTTATAGGTAATTAGCAGTACCTTGTATTGTACCTGGAAGTCTACTGATAACCAGTGTAGCTTACTAAGCAGGAGTGTTGACCATTCTGGATCAGCTGCAGTTTCTATGTAGTTTTCAAGGGCAACCCAATGTAGAGCACATTGCGGTCCAGGCATGAGGTGATCAAAAGTATGAAGAACTATCCTAAGGGCCTCCCAGTTGGCTTAGTAGATGAATTTAGCAAAGGCCTTCCTGGCCACAGCTGCCACCTGCTGTTTGAGCAGGAGCTGTGAGTCTATGGAGACCCTCAAATTGGGCACCAGTCCTAAGGGGGAAGTATGACTCCCTTCAGATGGAACATCTCTAGACCTGGGTAGACCAAATACTCATAGCCACTTAGTCTTGTCAGGGTTGAGTCTGAATCTGTTCCTACCCATCCAGATCCACACAGCCTCAAGAATTGGGGCAAGACCTTGAGATGATCACTTGGTCAGCCCAGAGTCAGACATACAACTGGATATCATCAGTGTACTCATGATACCTGATCCCAAATCGATGGATGATCTCATCCAGCAGTCTCATGTAGTTGTTACATCGGGAGGGAGATGAGGAGCATTGACATCTGATGCACCCCATATGTCAGGGGTCTCAGGACCAACTGAAAACCACAGAGAAGGGAGGAGAACCACTCCCAATCCCAATAGGTGGTCCAGAAGGATATAATGGTTGGTGATATCAAAAGCCACTGAGAGATCAAGGAGAGTTAGAATGACTGTCCTTCCCCATTCTGCCTCCTCTAGTGGTCATCAACAAGCACAGGCAATGCTGTCTCAATACTGTGAAACTTGACTGGAAGGTATCTAGATAATCTTTTCTCCAGGGCCCTATGAAGTTGTAGCCTGACCACCTTATCAAAAAGGGGAGGTTGGAAACTCCAAAAAAAAAAACTACCCAGGACCGTTGGATCCAGCAACATTGGATCCAGCCACCTCTCTCCCCAACTATAGAGCACATTCAATCACCCTTACCCCCTTAGGAACTTGGCAGCCTGGGAGTTTAAAACACTGCTGTGGTTCCCCAGCCATCCACATCCCTCCACTAAACTATAAAGAGGTTTATTTGCTGCTTTTGTGTAAGAGTGAACCAGGTGAGTGGCTAGGAATGATGAAATGCTTTGTGAGAAAATTATAAGAAGCTGATTAATTCAGTTTGGACAGCCTGTCCCGTTCTCAAAAGGTTAAAAATCCTGTTCTCATGCCAGCATCCTTCCAATTTTGGGTGATTACCATTTTCTGAAATCTTTCACAAACCAGAAGGACTAGAAACTACTATGAGGCTGAGTTTTACAGGGTACTGCTTCTAGTTTTAATCTCAAATTGTTCAGTTATTCAGATAGGATACTAGGTCAAAGGATAATGAAAAAGAGTTGCTGTTGTCAGGCCATTAGAGAAGAGGGCAATCATTGGAAGTATTTGGATAAAAGGAAGAAAGATGCTGAGTATTTTGTATATATTGAAACCATGGATAAAAACTATAGAAAATGATGTTCTGACCCTGCTCCCTTTCTCCCCCCCACAGGAGCTGAACAAGAAACAAACACAGAAGGATCTAGAGTGTGCCATGTTGCTGCGCCAGCATGAGTCCACCCAGGAGTTGGAATTCCGTCACCTGCATACTGTCCAGCGCACCCGCACAGAGCTCACCCGTCTGCAGCACCAAACGGAGCTGTCAAACCAGCTGGAATACAATAAACGTCGCGAACAGGAACTGCGCCAGAAGCATGCCATGGAGGTCCGGCAGCAGCCTAAGAGCCTCAAAGTAGGTGCTACCTACACTCCGCCTTGCTGCCAGTTGTGCCCGGAAGGGCAGGTTGTGGGAATTCTGGAGTCAGGGCAGGGGCACCCAGGGGTGACAGAAATGGACAGATATGAGGCTGAAAGTCTAGACTCTGGACAGGACCTTTTGGGTGGGCGTGGTCCTTGTGACTGTGTGGTGGGGGATCAGGAACATCTGGCGGATTTGGAATATGCGCACACTGAGCATCTAGATTCAAAAGGATGTGAATTGAATGTTCTGGAGTCAGACTGTGTTTGTGATGATCCAGGTGATTGCAAACATACTGGAGAGATTCTGGAGTCAATTCAGGGTGATGCTGATGTAGTAAATTTGGGAATAAAATGTCCAGACCTTTTAGGGAAGTGCACACATACAGAGAAAATTTTGAAGCCTGAGCTAGACAGTCATGCACATATGGTCCAGGAATGTAATCCAGAGGAGGAAACTCTAAAGCTGGAAGCAGTATGTGTTGGGTCTCATGTCCAAGGCTGGTCGCAAATGGGGGTTCTAGGCTTGGGGGATCAGGGCTTAGAGTCTTTGATGTCAAAACTGAGAGGCTGTGGAGAGGTGAGGCCAGATTGGCAATACCTGACAGATATAATTCCAGATGGGCAGGAAGCAGCAATTTTGGAGCAAAGACAGGAGTGTCTGGGGCTTGATGGGGAGGACCATGATGTTTTAGTTTCAAACAGCAAAGAATGGATTTTAGACTATTCTGTGGCGAGCCTAAAACAACAAGAACTGTATGATGAGGGAGCTGCAGATGTAGGACTAAACCAAAAGTTCCTTGGAGAACTGGATCACTGCAGAGATGCTTCTGAGACTCTGCTACCAATTTGGGGGCGACCAGGTGTTCCAGAGCCTGATGGACAAGAAGCGGATGAGCTAGAACCATTTAGATGCGAGGAGAATTTGTACACTCAGTCTCTACCCACTATCATAGAAGAGGGGGCCTTGAGAGGTTCAGGTGATGGCTGTCCAGCCAGTGATGATCCATATAGTCAACAGGGTGGTGGCAAATCCCATCCTGGCTCTCCTCCAGTGGCAACCATTTTGCCTCATGTTCTCTGCGTGGCTTTGGCATTGTTGGTCTCTGCGTATCCTTGTGCCCCAACTCTCCTGCTTCTGCTAGCTGCTCTCTGGGCCCAGGGTGGTAGTTTTCAAGATATCCTCCTGGCGCTTGAAGGATTCCTAGTGGGCCTGGGGGTTACATACACTCTATTGCACTCTGTCTTTCTTCTCTCTGGATCCTCCTTTCTACTCCTTACCAAGTTGGTGGGGGCAGTGGGTGTGGTGGGTCTGAGTGCAAATAGGGGGCGCCTGTATGTTCCAGTCATTCTCTTGGCCTCTTACCTCTTAGCTTCTCCTTGGGTTTTCCTGCCCCTTTATCTCTTGGGGGCACTGGCAAGGCACAGCCTAAGGGGATTCCCCCGCCATGCCCGTCGTTTTTTGCTCTTGGCCCTCTTGCATCTCCCACGCCCAGTTTTCCGCATCCTGCAGCGCCTAGGGCTGGTTAGTGAACAGGGGCTCTTCCGCCTCTTCCCCAAAACAAACAAAGGCAACTTCCGGAGTCGTATCCCAGTATTATCACGCCAGCGGCAGCCACCCCTCCCCTGGCACCACAGGATCCTTGCTTTCCTTGCCAAACCAATCTGTACCCTCAACAGGATCCTCACCAAGGTGATCTGTGCTCAGCTGCCCCCTTCAGTGCTCCATTGTCTCAAGGGCCTGTATGTCTTGCGGGAGGAAAGGCCCAGCCGTATCCCCTGCCTGATGGCACGTGCTGCAAGGCCCAGAGGCCGTTCTGCAGGGTCAGTGAGACGGTTGAACAGAAGTAGTCGTGTGCGTGTGTCCCCACCTGTCAGGAAGCCCTGGAGATAATTGGTCCTGTCTGAGCCCCAAAAGGAGTTTCAGTATCTTGGGCTTCTACACCTTGTCTTAACATTGTGAAATAAGCCATTCCAGTTGAACTTCCACATCCTGTCTCTTGCATACAAAACTCTGTGCAGTTGGCCAGCTTCTAGAATTCTGGGAAATCAGACAGAAGTACTTTTACAGTATTTACTCTCAAAGTCATTTTTCTCCCTCCAAGGTTTGCTGTTGTTTTGATGTCTTATTACCAGGAGGCTCTGGGCAGGTGAAAGAAGTTTTAATATGGGCAGAGTGGAGAATCGAACATTTGTGCAAGCTCCCTAATTGTTTACATATTGGGGGGGGGGGTTGTTTTGTGTTCGTTATGTTAACGAGGAAAGAATCACCTGATGCTCTTTTGAGCCAGCTATTTGGGAGGGCAGAATATTTTCTGTTTCCATCATCTGGGATAAGGTGGTGAGCCAAGTCCCTGAAACAGAGAGGCAAGGAACTTAAGTGCTAGTTGGTACTGACACAAATCCTTAGTCAGTGGATTCCAGCAAAAAAATAGGTTGACACAGAAGCAGGAGCTCCCGGTTTGCAAAAAGAAATGTTCCATTCTTACAAATTCTTTCCAGTAACCCCTTTTTAAAAGTTCCAGTTATGGCTGCTTTTTCCATCTTCAGCATCTCTTGCACAGTCAGGAGATAGATTTGTGCTTTCATTTCAAGACCATTTTTGCCATCTGAAAAGTTTTGAGTTCCAAATCCTGCTAAAATATACTAGTTCTTCATTTCCCACAGAGAAAGACACACACACCCCTTTATAAACAATATGGAAACTTAAGAAATTAAACATGTTTTGAAAAACCGGATTCTTCAGCTCCTGAGTGTTTACCTATTTTAAGTGATTCTTTCGCCGTTCATATATACTTCCACTATTTGTATGTGTGCGTGTGCATGTTTACACACACATACATATATTTATCATTTTTCACCGTATTTGTAACAATCCCCTTTTTAAAAGTTTTGAACTTGAATGTATATATTTGTATATGTTTGTGGGTAGGTTGGTAAGTTTTATATAATTTTTTTGTGGGGGGAGGGAAGGGGAGCTAATAAAATTTTTAAACAATACAATTTGACTGAAAATGGGAGAAATTCATAAAATGATAGCTTATTGCTGTAGATTTTTCACTTGAAACAATAATGGGCCATCCAGTAGCTTTTTTTCCTTCTTTCTTTAAATGAGAAACCACACGCTGGCATTTGAAATGAATGGCTTGGCTTTGAGGTGGTTTGCTTTAGTGTAGGCAGTTGCATTTTGGTCAAAGAGAAGAAAAATTACTAAATATGAAAGTTATGTTTCTGTATGAATGTCTCCTGGCACCAGGGCATAGGCAACCTTTTTAAGTTACATAAAAAACAAAGTTAGTTTGCCTTTTAATGCCTCCCCCAGTGTGGTTTGGGGCCTTACAGGTAGGAGACAAGCCCTTTTTGTTTTTTTACAAAACTGGAAATCTAGACCATCTCTAAAGTACAGGGACAGATCTCAGAACTGTGATGCTCCAACTTTCTTCTCTTTCCCAGGGAGCAGCTGTGCCTCCTTATCTTCCATGGAATTGGATGCCCCATTTGGGGGGACTCCCTCATGTCATCACAGTCCCCTTTTTCTTCATCTTTTATACTTCTTTTACAACTCTGCTACCATACCAGGAGCCATTTTCTTAGGCTTTGGGGTAAAGGTGTTAACCCACACCTATCTGGCTAGTTTGACATCCTTGTCCCCAATCACCTGCAGCTTGAGCTGAAACAGCACTTGCTTCTTGGTGGCTCTGTCACACTGGGATGAGAAGCCTCCTTTTATCGTCCAATTAATAGCCAGGCTAGAGAGTTCTGGAAAACCCAAATGCTTGTGCTGCTTTCCTGAATGTAGTTGTGTGGGTCCAACTGAGTATCTTTCCTTTTTTAACTCTGAGCAGGTAAGCACTAAACTCGATCACAGCCTGCCCTACTCTTCAACCAAATATCCTCTAGATATTTATCCTCTAACTCCATCATCTTGATCCAGCTTAATTGTGATATTCTGAAATCCCCTGCATTAGGATGGCTTTGGCAAGAGCAGGAAAATCTTATAGAATCTCAGTTCAGTTTGTATTACTTTGTTGTTAACAAGCTTTCATAAAAGTTTTATTTAATTGTAGGGAATAAAATCAAAAGTCAGTGAATTCTATATAAACGTATATAATCACAGAATCAATGTTTTTTAAATCCAGTCAGGATTTTTATGTGACTGACAACAAACAGAGTGATCCTGAGCACACCAACTTTAAGAATTGTTAAAGTTAGTGTTTGTTTGTTTAGTGGTTAATTAAGGAGATTGGCTTAGCCATAGCTAAGATTTTTGTCATTCTTAATTCTTCATTATGTGAGGGCAAAAGTGTTTTATAGAGTTAAATCACTTTGGAACAGTCTTCACTTCTATTTATTTTGGTAGCATATTCTTAAAATCATTACCTCTGTGCATTTCTGTGTATTTTCTCAGTTTCTTGTTAGCCATTCATGTTGTAGCTAGTCCCAGTTCCCTCCTCCCAATTTCCAACCCACCCATCAATACATTTCAGATTATCCTAACTTTGATATAATTCCATATTCATTGAGTCTGGCTTTTGGTCCCAGTTTTGCATAAAGCACATACCTTGTATTTCTCCCTTTTTTGGTTCACCTGTGATTTTTTAATTTATTCCAGTTTTGCATCATCTGTGGATTTGTGTATTTTTTTTTTTTTAGCATTCCTCTTAACCCTTTTTTTTTCCGGCCAAGTTTGTTTTAATTAATCTAGATTCTATTTTGTCCATTTTAATAATGTATTTTGTATTCCCATTTTTTTGTGTGTTTGAACTATGTTTTTTCTCTATCCTCACATTTTTTAAAAAACTATGTTAAATATTTTTAATTTATTTCTCCCATTTTGTGTGGGGGGACGTATTCTTCTGTGGTTTATTTATTTCTCCCTTCCCTGTTGTGGATGCATGTGAAATTTTGAAGGAAAAAAAATAAAAATTCTGCACCACAATTCACCACCTCTGTATTGTGAGTTTTGAGTTTGATGTGATTTGATTTTTAAGAAAATAAGGCACTTAAGCTTAGGAACTGGGCTACAAATCTATTTTCATGCACTCTGTGCCATAAAACACCCTCATATTATGTACTTTTAGATTTCAAAAAGTAAAATTGTTTGGGGGGCCTAAACTGGAGATTTGCTCTCCCACATCCCACTGTTACTTTAATTCCTAGTAGCTCATTTCTTTCTCTGTGAGCTCTCAAGTTTATGAGGTGTTCATGAAATTGATTAAAATAATATACACAGATGAAAATGTGTGATCCGGACAGTTTTTTTTCACCCCATTTGTGGTTTGGGGTCATTTTAGATGTCCAAAGAGTGATAAAAGATTATAGTCATGAAAAGATTACCACTGTTGAGGCCAGAAGCCTCAAGCAGTTAGGTGTAGGGTACAGTTAAAAGTGATTGAGTGGGAGTTGGTTTCGATATGAGGGATGTCATCTGAAATGCAAGGAAATGAACACTTTGCTCATCGGTATGAGCTTTGGGGTGAATTAGACTCAGTTTAAATGCAAAGAGAATAGCATGTTCCCTGGCAGCCAAAAAGTTCACTTTTGCATGCCCAAGGCCCACACCATAATTGGAAACACAGCTTGTAAAGGAAAAAAAAAACATGCTCTGAACTAAACCCCACCCAGTATCAAGGTTTGTGATAATCAGGTGGATTCCTAATGGGCCATCTTCTGCTCAACACCTTCCCTACCTTCATGCTCTCCAGATGGCCACTTTGGCATGGATAATGGGAGCTGTAGTCCACCTAACTGGAGAGCACCAAATTGGGAAGGCTGGTGTAAACATTCTTCATGAATTATTTTAAACCATGCTCTAGTAGGTGGATTCTGTTCTGTACAATGTTTTAATCATTTGTTTGGTGTGACTGTTTATCCTGGCTGACAGAACCATAAATCCCTTGGTCTAGCTGAGGAACTGAACCTTTCTGAGGTATAAGAATCGCTTGTCACCTTTCTCCTTTATAACTGCAAGTCCATTTTTGTTCAATACGTGAAGTTTGTGTCCATCATAACATTTTGTACAACAAAGGACTCTTCTTTTCAAAATCAACCTACGGCTGAGTCTATAGACGACAGAAAAATAGAGAATGTTTTTGGTTTTGCTAGGCAAAATGTGATCTCAGTTTGCATTTGAAATCTTAATGTTGAAACCTGCACACACATCCTTCCTTCTACTTCTCCGACATGTACTTTGAAAGGAACCTGAATAGTGTTTAGATTAGAAGAGAGGATCCAAAAGAAAACTTTTAAAGTAGGTACAGATGGATTGGGAGTTTCCCTCACAGAGCTAACTATGGATACGGCATAAGTATTCAGAAGGTATCCTGTGGAAACTTTCAGACATGGAGCATGAAAATGAAGAATGTTTTCTTTTGCAGAGCAGGATATAGAACGAAAAGCCATCAGATCATTGGGGAATGGGTGCTGAGAATATCACACACAATCTATTTTTAGACCATGATGTGGAACTGCAGTGATGTAATTTTTTTAATGCAGATTGTGGTAATTTGCACTGATTTTTTTTTTCCTGAAAATTTTCCACTTTAGCATTTTTGGAAAAACCAACACACAGTTTTTAACACACTGAAAAGTGTACATTTAAAGTTTCTGACCTAGCTCACTTAATCTGGCAAATCATTCATTTGTGCCTTTTATTTTCAGGAACTGATCACTGATAGCCCAGCAAGAAACAAACAGGCAAACATTTGCAAAGTGTATGTCCAAGATTTAAGCATCTTGAGTGAGCAGACCCCTCATAAAATTTCTCTCCCTAAGCATATTTGGCTGTCACCTGGTCATGAGCCAAACACATACAACTGGGAAATCAAATCAAGGGCACTGGAGAGGACCAGCTAGAACATTCATCTAAAGCACCCTCCAGTTGTTTCTCAGTTCATAACACAGCCCTGTTTAACAGGGAATTTCTACCAGGGCTATTTTCTTGTTCCCATTGTTCTGGTTGTTCCACATGTAGCTATCCTTCCATAGTGGCATATATGACGCTTCTTTATATTGAGTCACTCCATTGGTTTATCCATCCAGCTTTGCATCATTTATCTTCACAGGGTCTTAGGCAGAAAGAGGGCCCTCCTGGTCCTATTACTTGAAGTTACCTCACGGGCAATGTCAGCAATTGCATATCATTCTTTCAGGAGGCAAACCCTATACTTTTCATCAAGCTGTGATCAAGGAGGCATCCTTTCACTACATTAAAGCTATTTGGTTGGGCTGAAGCTGTTTCATATTTATATTGCTTTGATTTAAGTGGGAACGGTAGAATGGTTAAACGAGTTTTAGGTTTTTCCCACCAAAACCCCACTGGTGGGAGTTGTTTGTCTAACACGTGCTCCTGTCTCTCTCTCTCTCTCTCTCTCTTTCTCTTTCTCTCTTTCTCTCTCTCTCTCTCTCTCTCTTTCTTTCTTTTGCATTCATTCTTTATTTGCCATTCTCTTCTCCCTCTTCTGGTCACTTGCACTGTTCTGTTTTTGTTTGCTTGTTTTCCTCCTTTTTCTTCTCCTCCTCTTGCTACCCTAGTCCAAAGAACTGCAAATTAAAAAGCAGTTTCAGGACACCTGTAAGATCCAGACGCGGCAATACAAGGCCCTTCGCAACCATCTCTTGGAGACCACCCCAAAGAGCGAGCACAAGGGGATCCTCAAGCGTCTGAAGGATGAGCAGACCCGCAAGCTGGCCATTCTAGCTGAGCAGTACGACCACAGCATCAATGAAATGCTCTCCACCCAGGCCGTAGGTACCCCGCACTGCCCTCCCCCTGGGAGGGAGGGAGAAATTGGCCATCCTTCAACCCATGGAGAAGAGCATTTTCCAACTATGCTTTGAAGCCTAGGCCCCAATCCCATTGGATATGGGCTGACTACTTGAGGCAGAATTTATATACCTTAAATAAAGAAAAGCACGAGAGGTTGATTTATCCTTAAAAGGTTGCTTTGGTTTTATACCAGTTTAACTGTCTTGCTTTTTCCCAAAAGAACAGTGGAAAAGAAGATGCTGAGAATAACACGTTTTAGAGAGCCATAATTGCTTGCTCTCAAACTGTAGTCCCCAAGGCTTCCTTGGAAAAGAGGCTGGCTGCTAAACCACACTGTCCGTTGTGCAATGGTGCCCTCGTTCACAGGGCTCTGAAGGATGCTTGTCCATGTAGCATCTCCTTCACTCCCAAAGAAACCCTTCTGAGGTGGGTGACTAGTTTTAATTTTCTGGGACTAATGGAGATCCCTTTGCCACAACTGCTTAACGAGTATCAATTTTGATCTCCATAAGCATAGTGAACATGCCAGCAGTTGTTTGGTACTAAAATGGACTCTCCCCCCTGCCCCTGCCCTTGTACTGGGGACAGGTATTAGGTGCTTTCCATACAGAATAGGCAGAAATCCAAGAGGTGTCCTTTCTCCTTCGCTGAGAGGGAGATGCTCAGCTAGTTGAATTTCTAGCTATTCTTAAACGGGGAGCCCTACCACAAAGAGGCCTTTTGAAATATAATCATCTTGAGGTAGTGAGCCCTCCAGCAATAGCTTTGCAAAGCAAACAGACCAAATGGGGTCCTTTTTGTAATGGTTTGAGGCCAATGCCCATTCCAGAAGCATAGGAAACATTAATTATGGAGACCTTGAGGGAAAGCTAGTGTCTCTCTTTTAAGAGCCATCCTGCCCTAAGGGTTGGTTCCGTGGTGCACAACTTTACGTTGTCTTTTTCCTCCCTTCCTAGCTGCGTTTGGATGAAACTCAGGAGGCAGAATACCAAGTCCTAAGGATGCAGCTGCAGCAGGAGCTCGAGCTGCTGAACGCTTATCAGAGCAAAATCAAGATCCACACTGAGGCGCAGCATGAACGTGAGATCAAGGAGCTTGAGCAGCGGGTATCTATCCGCAGGGCGCTCCTAGAGCAAAGGGTAAGTATCTCCTACTCTCCCTGCCTCTCCAGGAAATTCCATGAAGCTTGGGGTCCAAAGATACTGCAGTATCCACTCAGACCCACAGCCCCATCTTCAGTCCTGCTCAAAGGCCAAAAACATGAATTGTTCTCCTCCATGCAAATCTGAGCTCTTGATTCTCATAATATTAAACTAAAGGCAAACAACCTTTTTCTGCTGAGTGCTGCAGTCCCTTGAGGAATCTATTGGGGACCATATATCAAATGTGAGTGGGGCTTCTGGAGGCTTTGGGGTGGAGCCTGAACCACAAGGGGCTTTCTGATAACCCCCTTTTTCCCCTCACACTGACATTCCTGTTTTTACAACAGTACTGAAATGCATTTTGAACCACAACAGCACTGAAATGCATTTTCAGAAAGCACTAGATTGTTTTTTTTAAACACAGAAAAATAGCTGGGAATAAGCTTTATTCAGTGCATTCCAATTACACACACCTGGAGTAAGCTCTATTTAACATAGGACTTACATCCGTGTAAAAATGCGCACATGGGATCAGACTGTAATGCACCTGGGGCTCTAGCATAACAAAAGCAATCATTTCACTTTAATACAGCCTTGCATCCCTAAGAATCTTGCAAAAACTGTTACAGACGTGGTTGCTTTGTTCTAAAATGTTTGTTTATTAATCTGAGTTAAAAGTCCTATCTCCCTTATCTTTTATGGGTCTTTAGTTTCAACTATGAGGTTGCAGATATCTAATTGAAATGCTGAGGATCTGAGTACAGATGATGAGCCATCATCTGGCTGTACATCACCATATGCCTCTTTTGGTGTGTTGGGGAGTGCCAGGTATTCCTGTTACATCCAATTTAGCACAGATATGTTAAGTGCTAGGTCTCCCTTCCTTATTAAGCAATCTGTCCATCTTCATGCATGTCTTAAAAGTGGTGTAATTGAATCCAGTCAGTAGTAATCTTAGTAACCAGCCTGACCTTGTTATCCTTATTGGCTCACTTGCTGTTACAAGTGAGACAAAAGGGATGCTTGTCACCCCTGCCATGATGTCTGAGCAACTGTGGTTTGTGGATTCTTGCTTCTGAGGTCTCTGTGTATCTCTTCTTTCCTTTTGTCCTTCTCCAGATTGAGGAGGAGATGTTGGCCTTGCAGAATGAGCGTTCTGACCGCATCCGCAGCCTCTTGGAGCGCCAGGCCCGGGAGATTGAAGCCTTCGACTCTGAAAGTATGCGTCTGGGATTCAGCAATATGGCACTCACAGGCATTCCAGCCGAAGCCTTCAACCAAGGCTACACGGCCCCTCCTCAGCCCTGGCCCTCCCGCCCGGTTCCCCGCAGCGGCTCCCATTGGAGCCATGGAGTTCAGAATACAGCTGGTGCTCCTCATGCGTGGAGGCAGCCTCCCATGCTTGCCCCGCCCCCTTCAGCTTGGCTTCATCCCCCTTCCTCGTCTCCCTCCTCATCCTCATCCTCCTCCTCGGCTCCTAGTGGCCGCTCCAATGTGGTCATGCTGAGAAACAGCCCCCAACCACTGCGGCGCACAGCTTCTGGCGGCCAGTCGGACCAGGGCATCAGCCGCTCAGCCAGCGTCACTTCTCACATCCTCAACGGGTCACATTTTTCCTACTCGTGAAGTGATTGGTAGAGAACAGGGAGACTTGGCTGGAGGCAAAGGGGGGGTTGGCTGGTGAAAAAGGGAGGGAGGCGGGGCATGTTATCGGGGGTCGATAAGTTAAAAAACAAAAATGGGAGATGCTGTGAAACTGGACCACAGTGGAAGGCTCTCGGTCATCATCAGTAGCCTTTGAGTTGCCAGTCACCATAAGAAGGTTGGACTGTGAGATGGAAGGTTGAATTCTCGTCCTCTGGAGCATAGCTGGTGCCTCCTCAGATTGTGGTTTCCTATCCCCCGCCAAATGGATAGAGACATCGAAGCTGCAAACATGATGTTGGCAGTCTGTTCTTGTGTCCCTGATGGTTGTCGGTTGCTCCCCCAGCGTTGCCACAATCTGTAGATGAAGACAGGCCAAGAATAGTGCTCCAGCAATGGAGATAAAGTTATCTCTTCAGGGTGTGGCTGAATAGTCTCAATAGTCTCTTCTCTTGAGAAGAGAGGAAAGAAAAATACTCCCACAATACAACAAATCCAGAATTCTTTATTGTGCACTGTAGCTTGTTTGTGGGTGTAATCAGAGCTGCTGCAGCCAGAAACCCTGCTTTTTCCCCTCCTATGCCAGGGTTCCTTTAAGTCAGCTTGGCTAGCGGGAGGAATGAACAGGCATAGAATTGGAGAGAATCCTGGATTTGCATTGGTGGTGGGGCTAATCTGCATGCTTAGAAATTTTCAGAGTGACAGTGAAGAACTTTGCATCTTGGGCATAGACACTGGCTTTTGATCCTGCCCAAATTCACAGACAGGAGAAGATGACAGAATTTAATCTGCTTCTGTGTACCTTGCTCCACTTCTAGAACCTTTCTCAGCTTACTATAGCCCGAGGATGGGAGAGGGAAATGTATATGCAGACAGGCTATTCTGGGGTCTGAATCTGCATTGCCTTCTCTTTCTCAGTCAGAGGCCTCCTCCAGCTCTAGAGGCTGTCTTGGCATCATACTGGTCCCACATGATGGGGAGAACTAATGGGTTTTCAACCCTTTTTATCCCTGTTATGATCCGAATGTAGATACTGATCAGTGCCCTCCATCCACAACCCCCAATGTCTGTTTTGAGATATGGACCTAACCCCATGCTAGCCCAGGGGTCATCTGTTGACGATCAACTCATAAACATATACATTGTCTTTCTTCCCTCTCTTATGGAAGAAACATCCAACAGTTAACAATTCTTGTAACAAGGGGCTTTGGACTGGAGCTCTCCCCAAACACGCACACATAGCACATTTAGTTCCCTGATCACAATCTAAATCTCTGGAAGAGATTTGGCTTGGTGCTTATGCAACTAACGTTTATATGAAATTACCTCCTCTAAATTGTTTTTGATGCAGTGTGCCCACCTTACAATTTCCAGGCCTTTTTGTCTTCTCCATATTTGTCACCTATCACAACCCTGGCACCTTTCCTGCTCATTTTAGCCTCTTCCAATCTGCAGTTCTGCAGCCCTGAATTCATATTTGCACATAAGAGATTGGTTGCAGAGTTCAGGTGCCCAGCTGAGTTGAGTACTTTACGTAGTTCAGATTGTACACAGTGCCATTGTCATCTCATTTCTTCCCTTGTTCCTACATATTCTTCTCAAGCCATACATCCATCCTGTAAATTACAGAATAACCCAGTATGATCAAACCTCAAGGCTGTCTACCCAGGGTTTGAGATCGGGGACCACTTGACATAATTAAATGATGTTGAAGGCCAATAATCTACACTCCAGACTTAAAAATTGAGCCTTTCTTTCTGTTGAAAGGCAGGCAAATTAGCTAACCTCAGAGCAATCAGGATGAGACTGAAGTGGTCCCATCAGCCGATAGAAAGGTTTTCAGAATCACATATCTTTCTTATTTTGTGGATTTGCCTGAACTTCATTGGTGCTCCATCCAAAAGAAAGTGAGGCTGAAATTAGGATCCTGAAAAGGGTGTGCATTTTACAGTGATTAGAAAACTAAAAACCAGTTTCTACCATGAGGGAAAGTAAATGTGGAAATGAAGGTCATTTACAATTCATTCTCTTCCTCCCCCTTCCCCACTAAAACTACAAACCATAACAGCCTTCATCAACCTGATGTTCTCTAGATGTGTTGGACTGCAGCCTACATCACCTCTAGCCAGCATGGCTAAGGGAAGTTGTAGCTCAGCCTCTCTAGAGGGCATCAGGATTGGCAAGACTGTTGTAGGAAGAAGACAGTCGTTCTTGCAAAATGGAGCATGAATTCATGTTCGTTCAGAGCACTAGAGTGCACAGACTTTAAATAATAGCATACGGTGGGAAATACTGATGACTGTCGCAGGAGAATTTTCTTTTCCTCTAGCAGTTAATCCAGACAGAGATTTTCATCAGAGAATACTGCCAAGTTCATATCCAATAAGAGCAGGTATGATGGGAAAGCTGCTGGTGAACTCCCCTGTTTTAAATGGCAAGAGGGAGAATTCTGTGACTGAACTATATTAAATGCCCATTGGAAGACTGGATATCAGATGGCCCCTGATTTAAGTTTCTGATACACTAGTTTTGTATGTATTACAATTATTTTCCCTGTTGGGATACACTTAACTAGGTTGACTCTGACCTGTTATTAAAATGAGCAAAAGGCAGGATTCCACCAGCTCCGTCTGCTGTTTACGTAAATAAGGCTCAGATTAGCTAGATACAGGAGGACAAAATCTGCCCACTGCACAAAGAGAGCCCCATTTTTTTCAGAGAAGTTCAAGTGTCTCAGCCATTTGAAATGGGAGTGGAGGAGAAATAATGCTGGCACCCTAAAAAGAGACATCTGTCCTAATAAACAGGGAAGATGTTCTTTGCCTCATTCAAACATGAGCTCCTAAAAATCATTCAGAGCAACTGGAGGTGTGGGGTGATAGCTACAAGACATCTCATGTGCAAAGCAAGGAGAGCCAAAATCTGATGGAAAAACAGAAGGTTCCTTCTCAGGAAGGGGCAAGCGATTGATCCTCTTCCTCCTCCTTTTAAAAGCATTCAAACTCATGAAGTTTTGCTGTTCTTGCACAAGAAGCTGAAACATTTTCCCCCAGTGCAAGGCAGCTGAAGCACATCTCCCCTCTACCCTAACCAAACAAAATAACCAATTCGCCAATCCCTTTTTTCCAATATTCACAGTGATCCTTCCCCCAACACAATCCTTGGGCCCAAAGTTTGCCTCCACTGTCAACTTGTCTGGTTGATTTTTCCCAGAACCCTCTCCCAGATTTTGCGAGTCAATTTTCTACTTGAATCAGGCCCCCTGTTTTAAACAAGAGGGGAGGGTGGGAGGGAGAAGAAGAAGAAGAAGAAGAAGAAGAAGAAGAAGAAGGGGATCTTTGATGACTTCAAGATGTTCAGTTAGTGGTTTCTTTCTCCTGCCTGCCTGGGATTGAGAAATGGGGTTACAGGGAGGGATAGGGCTGGAGGGGCTTGATGTATTATAATAATCCTTTTGTTTCTAAAAAAATAATAATCTTTTTTCTGTTTTTGGTGCCATAACTTTCCCCATGTACAGTTTTCCTCTTCCTGTTTTTTGTTTGTGCTGCCCTCCCCTCGCCCGCCCCCATTTCTTTTCCTGTCTCCCTCTGTGTGGGTGATTAAAAACTAATGTGAGTGTGTGTATGTATGTCTTTTTTTATATATGAAGAAAAATGTTGCGGGGAAACTTAGACATATGTGTCCTATGGAATGTATTAGAAAATAAAACACTTTTTAAAAAGAGAACAGGGAGGGGTGGGGAAGCTTGAATCTTACTTGGGAGAGCAAACGTGGAAAGAGAACGCAAAGGTGGAATTGGTTGCTCTCTAGAAGGCTACCAATGGGAGAGGCTTTGGGTGGGGTGAGAAATCTTTTAATAAAAATGTTGAATATTTAAAAAAAGAGTGTGTCATCTTTTGGGGTGTGAAGAGCTCTTGGGTTAAAGCAAGTTTTCTCGGGACAAGATGCTAAAATGCATAATTCAGAAGTCTACTTACAGCACATTTCAACTGCCCTTTCTTATACAGCTCCCAGCCCTAAAAGGTGTCTGCCCCAGCTTGAAAGCTTGAGCGCATTCATTTCCTTCCTAAAGTACATTTTCTAACTCACAGCCAGCATCCTAGAACTGCTCTGTCTCTGCAGATCTGTCCTGTTTGGCAGTTTGCAAAAGTTCGGTCCTCTTGCATTATAAGGAATCCCGTCACCTAGCAACTGGATTCTGGAAGCATTCCCATGGTAACAGCATCCCGGCAGTTGGCAAGCAAGAGGAGACGCAGCTTGGTTTCATTCCACCTCCCACAGCAGGGCACCTGATGAGGAAAGGGGTGATGGTTTGTATCTGAGTGAGCAAAAGGTCTTGTCTACAACCGAGATAGGTGACTTCACACATTTCCCAATGCACATTCTCATTGCTCCCTTGACAACCAACCAACTTGGCATTGCCAAAATCCTGACTTTCGGTTCAACTCCACTTTAATGTTGGACCCTTGAGAAAATACCAGACGGTTGAACTGCTGTATCTTATGTCATAATACGTATTGCAGAACTGCGGATCTGACTCATGCCTGTAATCAGCCTCTGAGTCTAAATTCTAGGTGTGGCGTGCTGATCCTGTGTGTGCATGGTTCTATTCCTCCTGTCACTTTAGGAGAAAGGGGAGGACTCACGTTAAGCTTGAGGGTGGAAAGTGTGTAGTGGACGAGGTGGCTGTAGCATCTACATTCCCCTCCTGGACAGCAGAAGACCACCTTTCTCCAGCTAATCTCAGAGCCCAGGATCCAAGCTGCAAGTTTTCCAGAAGGTAGCCAACAAAGCATGGAATAAAGTTTGGTTTTGCCTCTTCTGCGGCAATGGTTCAAAGACCTTTGCATAGCAGCCAGGGGTGTCTACAGGGTCAAAGTGTGCAATGCACATAAAAAACAGGTGGAGCTTTGGAGACACCATCATGGCTGTCCTCTTGACTTGGTTTTTTACTATATTTTCCAGACACCGCGGGAGGCATTTCATCCTCACCAGTTTCCCCCATTCATCCAGCCCCCCCACTAAAAGCACCAATGAAGCAGGCAGCCAATTTAAAATATAATACTTCTTACACAATCTGTAAGTAATTACTCTCTTCCTCCATGTAACAAATAGCTGTCCAAAGGAGGGTGCAAGTGATACATTTTAATTAATTTTAAGTAAACAATTTTGAGCTTTCTCACCCCAATTTCAATGCTTTCTATAGGCTCGCTTTTCCATTTGTTTGTTTCAAGAATTTCTATGGCCACCCATCTCAACAAAATGACTCTGGGTGGGCTAACAATACAGAAATCATAAAATAGAACAAAGTAGATCGAAAACAATACAGTAGAACAGAATACAGTGTGATCAAGGCTCCAAGATAAAATTCTCACATACTGTAATAACAAAACATGTATACCAGACTCCACTAACATCCTGGCCCCGTTGTCTGGGCATGTCAAAGTTCTCTGGTGTCCTGAGGAACTAGGAACTTGCTTTAGAAGTAGAACCAGAAGATTCAGCAAACTCATTTTCACCTCTTTCTGGACAAGGACAGTGCTGGGAACAATGCGATGGCTCATCTATTTCTCTTCTGAGTGAAAAATAGCAGGCAATATTTTAAAAAACAGGAGGGAGGGTGGGGGGATGAAAAACAACACATAAGATTATCAATCAGCAAGGAATGGAAACATTTAAAAATGATTAGATTGCTACATTTTAAAAGCTCTGCAATGCCTGGTTTAAAAAAATGTTTTAATCATTTTTACTTGGTGCCAAAAAGTTGACAAAAACAGAAACAGTATTGGGTTTAGCACCATGCTAAAAAGTGTGTCCCTGGTGGCCTCAGGACAGTACCCAGCACTTGGCAGAATTCATCCTTATTCCTTCCACAGGATGAGCTGGCCAGGATCTGCTCTGTCCATCCGCCACTAAGAGCTGGGATGGATGCAAACCTACTTTTGGAAGCAGCTCACAGATCAGAGACCACTTGGTATATGCTCAGAAGCCCCATCAGCTCCGTTCAGCCCAAAGGTGCAACGTCAAATGATTCCTGCTGATGCTTTTGCTGGATGACGCAGTTTCCATGGCCAAATAGCTGCTTCTGAAATGCTGGCTATAAGCTAATGCAGGAGAGCACAGGAACCCTGATGGTGGTTCTTTGCAGGAGATCTCTTTTGTTGTTCAGTCGTTAAATCGTGTCCGACTCTTCGTGACCCCATG